AAGTTAAAATACATTTTTTGAATCAATGTAATGTCCTAGTAACTTAAGATTAGATGATAATTTCGGTGTTGTTAATATTAACCATGAATTTAAATAATTATTGACATTGTTCGCGTTCTCTCGTGAATTTTGTATGACAAAACCAATATTTGTCTTCAAATAACGCGTAGGAGAAGATTTCGCAGACACAATAGTATCGCTATAGTTAACTATAAGTACAAAAATATTTAAATAAGTCAGTTTTACTTATGTTTCTTACGTTTAGTGAAAAGTTGGAATATGCATAGTGCATGGTAATAGAGTTCCATGTTGACTACAAAATTATTCCTTCAGATAAACCAAGAAGCATTCAGTACTAACTTCAATCGACACAAAAGTTATGTTGACGTAAGACTATTGTATAAACCATTGGAATGTCCGTTTGTACACAAAATCGCCAGTATTAATTTCCAAATAATAAAATCGTGTATAACATACATCCACACAGATTACGCACTTAATTTGTTGTAAGTTGACGCAAGGTGTTGGTCCGCGAGTTGTGGCGCTTTATATTGTAGCTTGTAAAGATAATCACTTTAACAACTTCGTTCGCATGAGAAAAAGGTAATTAGATAGATTAAATTGAGTTTAAAATGTTAAGGTTTCGCGTTACAACAGCGTGTTGTAAAGTAAGGAAGCCTGACATTTTATATTTATTTAATTAATTTAATGAGTTTAAGACTACTGTGATTACCACCTTATTATCATAAATTTGTTATCCATTCATGATCATACTAATATTATAAATGTGAAAGTTTAGATAGATGGATTGTGGTTCTTAGAGTTTGTTGTAAACGGCTGAACAGATTTCGATGAAATTTGGTATTGATGTAGAGGATAGTTTGAAAGAACACAAAGGGTACTTACTTTTTTTTGATTCCACGCGAAGGAGTCGCGAGCGGAAGCTAGTAACTACATAAACTACATTTTATCAAGATCTTTCTAAATTAATTTTAAGAATAAGTCTATTTTCATTTTGTTGCACCGATAGTTATATTAATTAGATTATAAGCTATATGTTAAAATCATGTTACATTTTTTATTCAATGATGACGACAGTTTCCAACGACATTTGACCCTTGGCGCGCTCACAGCTCACAGCTCACAGCGCACATTTACGACATCGTCTGTTGAAATCAAACGACAATATCACCTCGACTACATTTCACTGTGATTTTAACGTTTCATCTGTTAGTGGTGGGTGTTTAGTGGTGTCAAAGGTTACATTATCTGGGCTTTGAGTATTTTTTATGTTTTACTAACATAATTTTATGTTAAATTTTTATATGACAATTAAGTACATGTGTCATCATCATCCTCCTTATTTTAGTCCCGTAGCGTCGGCACAACAGGTTTTTCTCCTCCAAATAACTCTATCATACGTCATCTCAGTCATCGCTCCCTTTTTGATCATGTCACCTTTCACGCAATTCATCCATCTCTTTCTAGGTCTACCTCTACCGATGTTCCCTTCCATACTCATAACTAACATTCTCCTTGTAACATGCGATTCATCCCTCCTCATAACATGCCCATACCATGTCAACCTTTTACTCCTTCTCTACCTTCTCTACCACTGGGGCTACTCTCATACTTCCTCTAATATACTCATTTCGCACCTTATCCGTTCTTGTTACCCCACACATCCATCTTAACATTCTCATTTCTGCCACATGTAGTCTCCTTTCATCCGTCCCTTTTACTGCCCAACATTCAGATCCATACATCATGACAGGTCTTAAGGCGGCCTTGTAAATTTTCCCCTTTAATCAAAAACCTACTTTAGGATTTGGCACTTTTTTTTGCGGCCAGCCGCCTGCCTGTTGCCAACCCTACTTGGAATTTCATTAACTATTAAGTACATGCCTTTTTCAAAAATATAAGAATTTTCTCATGTCGAAATCATACTTCATATTAATATTATAAACGCAACATTGACGATGCGATCTATGGAAACTACTGCCTATATAAGAAGTCTTCTTAAATATTGCAATAGAACGTTATATTAGCCTCAGTAAGTTAGAAGTACTTCATTAATCTTTATTCATTTCTACATAGAGAACGTCGGTATGCACCTTAACTAAATGAATAGTAATAACTAGGATTGATGATGTTTCCTTACGTTTCGTAGCGCCATCTCTGGGTCAAAAGTTCAAAAGAACTTCATATATCAATAGAATGATCATGTACAGTTGCAACAAAACGTAGAAACACAGTCTGCGACATCCCCGGTTAAAAAACTACATACTATAGTTTGTCTAAATAAGATAGATTAGTTTGATAATTCAGTATGGATGGGTTGTGTAAAATCGGGTATGAATTTTTTCGATTTTCGATTTTTACTCTCATAGAAGGTGGAACCAATAGATTCAAACTTTTGGATTATTACGTTTCGGATAAAAAAAAATATCAAAATTGGTCCACTAGCGGCGGAGTTATGAGTTATACACACATAAAAAAAAACATACAGACGAATTGATTACCTCCTTCTTTTGAGAAGTCGGTCAAAAATAAAAAAAAACACTGTTTCTCAAATAAATAATGACTACAAAAGCAAAAGAAAAAATGTGAGTTAATAAATATTTATTACTACTACAGTTGTACATAATCGATTTGGATTTTGCTATTATTATTGTCATCGCTATATTTTCTACACTACATTTATTACTAGAATTGTCTTCTAAATTAGTCAATAAATTAATAATAATTGTAGTTAAGTTTGTTAAATTTTATTTAGACTGAATATCGATAGTTCATAATTATTCGCTGCGTGTTTGTTTCGTCACTACGATACCTGTCTATTAAGTACGGCATTTCCTTCATACAAATTTAATTCGATACTTTATATGCGTCATTTATCAAATTAATCTATCTTATTAAGACAAACTATATGTGTAGTTCTTTCATCGTCGTTTATAATAGTTATGTACCCATATGTCTAATATTGAATGATGTACGTGAGAAACAAACAAGGAATGTTATTGTCATATGCTCGTGAAACTTATGAACTGCAAGCAAATCATCGGACACGTCGTAAAACTCAAGGGTTATGAGAATGTAATATTTCCTAACAGTCAATAGGACTTTTAATTTTATTTCTGTGAAACTGAAGGTTCTAGTGAGACAAATGTTAAAATAGCTGTTATTATATTGTGTATGATTGTGCACACATAATTTCATCCGAACATTTGATATGGGGACGTGCGAAAGCTCTGACCGATCACTAATTAAGAAGACGAATCGAATGGCGCAATTAAATTCGCATTACATCTAATTAGTAGGAAAAGATTCTGAGGACCTCTTCAATAAATCTAACGGTCTATTGAACTGAAGTTCTACAGTGAGCTGTGGAATTTACTAGGGTGACCATTAGTTATGGTAAAGTAAAGACCGGCTAAAGACTTTTAAATAGCTTAGAATGACCGCGCATACCTTATGTTTTACATTATTTAAAAAGTTACGTGTTAAAAAATGAAACAATAAGTTTAATTAATAGCTAAGTTTTGTTTTCCTGTAAATTTTTAGGTCCAGAAAAAACATCAAATTATTGCGACACTAGTAAAGATATTGTACAAATCATAAAATCATTAATGCTTCATTAGTGGATTTAGTAACAACTGGACCTCGAACCTTGACACTTGATTTTTATGTTACTAATTAAAGACGCTTTTTAAAGCGAAACAGTGGCTAAGAGGCTAGGTATTTTATGTCAGTCTCATTAAACCCTAATCAATTATTATTTAGCTATAAAATGTGTACAATTAACAATTCCTATGTTTTAAAATTATACAAAAAAAAATTTCTTTGTTTTTTATGAAGCCAATACAATCACTGCATAGTTATTTTTAAATAATATTTTCAAGGAGACAGACTTATAAGGAGTTATGTAAAATGACATAATGGAGCTGGAATTAAAACCATTTTCTCTTATTAATGGTTTATATTTCCCATGAAGCCTTATTTAGGCCTACAGGCATATCGGAAGATTAGTCACATCACACTATCTTTATGAATGTCTTGTTATGGCTATTTAGATTCTTGCTCCCACGTATTTTTATCTTGGGGTAGACAGAGGCAGTCCATGTTAATTTTGAGTAATGAAGTTTGTTTTGAAATTGGTCATTCTAAACTATTCTTTTACTTAAGTCATCTAACAACTCTTTGTATGCTTTTGTGTGATATTTCGTCTAGTTTTTCCATGTGAGTCAGCGAATTGGGGTTTTGTGTAGATTTTTTTCCTTGCACTGCTTTAAATATGTGTGAAGGAAATCCCAAGAAAGTTTAGTTAGCATGCAGATCGCTTTGCTCGGTGTAACTTTTTATTGAATGAAAAACTTTTGCATCAAACATTAATGTAGAGTCTAAACTCGAACATGTACTGCATTATTTTATTACTCTTGAACAATAAGGTAATTCGATATTGTGGGCTTCTTGCCGTTCTAAAAGTAATGCACGGTCTTCCTCGCAAACATCAATTTTATTCTATAGAAAAAGTGACCGGTTATTATAACATGAATGACGATACTCGCTTACAATCCTGCGGCCGTACTCTGAAACGACATTTCAGTATGTAAAACTGTAACTCAAACTCTGATTTCCTTTAAAATGTTGATGTCTCTTGCAGATTGCAAATGGTTACGAAACGCGGTGTTCAAGATTCGTTTCAGTATTAGGCCGCTAGTCAATTTATTATATGTAATTTAATTTAAAACACAATTTGCATGTTCTAAACTATTACATAATTCGCAAATCGTGACGGCGGATCTCATAAAAATGTGTCTATTTGAATTGGTACGAAATAATTCGTGCATAAAGTGTCGGGTGCATTCATAAGACATTGTGCGAGTTATCAAGGACAGGTCAGGATTCCGCTGGAGGGAGGAACTGAGGGCACGCGGAGGTACTGAGAACTGCGATGAACTATCGAAATACGTGTACAGGCACCAGTCTAACTTCGACCGTCGAAGGTAATCGACGTGCGTGCGAACGAATACATCGAATATTACGATAGACATTACTAGTGTTGTACCTTTTTATCGTAATTTCATTTTTTATTTATTTAATTCGTGAAACTTTAGTGAATTGTTTGATGTCATAAATGTTAATCATCTAATGCGACTACTGATTTTTTTTATTAGCGTTTTACATAATTTGTTATTTTAATGATCTTGTATATAATCATTAAATCACTTTGCATGTCTAAAATGAGGTCAAATACGCTATTTTATGAATGAGTTTTATTTTTTAACTAATTTTATTTAAATTTATCGATTTAATTAATTTCAAAAATTACCATAAATACAAAGTTTATTGACTTAGGCTTCTGCATGCTGATTATTTCGAAATAAACAAAAATTTCAAAACATATTTTTTTTATGTTACCTTTTTTTAAAAGAAAGTAATGAAAGTGATTTAAATATTCCTGTTCAGTAGGTGGGTGATGATATTTTGACAATAGTGACATAGGAAGTGTGCCATGGCAGTGGCAGTGGCCGGTGTCAACATGGATGTCAAACAGCTATTGTGTGCGTGCCTATTGTTGGCCTGTGTTTACTTCACGATGGCACAAGTAAGTAAATGTTAAGGGTTACAGTTTATTAATTTTCACTAAGCCCATCACTTAAACTTAATATTAGTTAAGATCGTTTTTAATCTCTGGTTTATTCATAACTAGTGCAAATAAAAAAAAGTAAGTAGCCTATCTGTTCTTCCCGACTTTGCTCTACATCTGTGCCAAATTTTATAGATATCCATTTAGCTGTTTAGGCGATAAACTCTAACAAACATTCATACATCTAAACTTTCTCATTTAAGAACGTAGACAAAAGCAGCTGCTAATCAAACAATATGCTGTAACTAGTTTAATAATATTTGAACAAAACAAAAACAACGACTGACCCTAGCGACCAGTTTATCTTGGCCTGTTCTTAGCGACATTGATAGTCGTGATAAGGATGTTGTTTAAAAAAAAGTGGATCTGACTTATTAACTTGATTCGTCTGTATTTTGTGTGGGTTTGTTTGTATAAGTTACAATACACATGTAAAAGTTTATGTTGGTTTCACATACATGGCCCAATGGTTATTATGCAAGCATTTTACGATTCTTTTTGAGTTTATGGTTAAGATCTATAAAAATAACAAAGTAACCTTATTCGAAGTGACCAAAAAATGTTTATAACTATAAAAATTATCTATACTAATATTATAAAGAGGATTTTTTTTTTTTGTATGTATAACTCAAAAACTACTGGGTCGATTTTAAAAATCCTTTTACCGTTAGAAAGATAATTTATCTGTAAGTAAAATAGGCTATGTTTTTTTATTTCACTAGGACGAAATCTATTTTCTAGGTGTATTTTAGAAAATACTAGGAGACTTTTGAAGAAATTTGTGATTGAAACTAGTCAGCACCGACAATGTTATTATTAATGGTAAACTAGAGCATGTTTTTGATCATTTTATTAGCGGATGTTACCATTAATTAATTTATAGAGTCTTAATCTATCAGTAAGATATCAGCTATATTTCGCCAGCTAGATACGAGCTCGTTGCTTGTTTTTATATAAAAGCTAATTCCCTATCTTGCGTTATCTCTCACCTCACGACATTTAAATATGTTCCAACATAAATTAATGTCCACTCAGTCTGGCCGTTTTGTATTTTATATCTATGTTGAGTTTTTCTTGTTCTTTTGAAACCGTCGCTGAGAAAAAAATCTGGTTATGCAATAAAATACGACTTTTGACTATAAAAGTATTTACAGATACTCTGTATTTAATAGGAAGACAATTTGTAGAGATGGGCAAAGATTAAGCAATGATTATATTCTGTATTTTGTTTTTAAAATTAAATTGTCAAACATGTTTGGTTTATGATAAAATTAACTCAATACACAATTCCTCATGTATTCAATCAGTTTCGACGCCACAAATAAATTAGTTTTAATTTGAATTTTTTATGTAAGCATGTATTTTGATAGACGACTAAGCTTTTGTTAATCTAGCTCATAAACTATTTGAGTTTATTTGAATTTTATTTATTAATAAAATAAATAAACTGGTATTACAAGACAAATTGACAAAAGCTGTTATACTCACATCTTTGCAACCAATGTTGTTGGCTTACGATATATTAGTTTTGTCCACGAGTCTTCCGCGTGGAAATAAAAAAACAAAAGCGAGTAGCCCATGTGTTCTTCCAGACTATCCTCTACATATATACCAAATTTCATCGAGATCCGTTCAGCAGTTTGAGCTACAAAACCTAACATCCATCCATCTAAACTTTCGTATTTAAATATTAGTATGAGTATGATTTACTACGGTCTTTCATTTATGTAAATAAACTAAAATATTAGAAAAAGAAAAAACATCGCGACCAATCTGTGTTGCCAACTACAACCGCAATGTAACCACTGACCCAGTGGCAATGACCTACGAAAGTCAGACAGATCAATAGCTCTACGAAGTGTATAACCATAACGTGTCTCAATGTCAACATTAGTATACTTTTTATTGCGGGTTTCATGTTAATAGATTTAATTAATAAACAACTTTTTGTCTGCCTGACTCAAGTGTGACGTCATGTGTACCTTCACATAGTTGAGACGACCCTTTTTCACGTTCGACTTATTTCTTTCAGAGATGACTGTCTATTTAAAAGAAATACAATTCGAGTTATTAATAAATTTGAAAATGTAACTAATATGATATTTATTAATGTATCAAGTGATTAAAAATATAGATTTATGGCCGAACACTGAATTTAATCTCAAACAGTTCGCTTCGTAAACAATACAATATGACAGAAGTCAAAATTTTAATGGAATATGAAGTTTAACTGTAGCTTTATGATTTAAGAGGATGTTACATATTCTAATGACGTTTCAGTATTCGGCTGCATTCACTGATGTTGATGTTTTGAATTCCAAAAATGTTAGTGATTTTGACATAACAGTCCAAATACGTATTATTAGGAAATGTGGGGTCTAGGCTTTGACATGTTTGTCGTAAATTTAAATTGGCAATATTTAGTGCAAGTTTTTACAATGTGGCAATAAGTTAGTTAATCGGCCACTTATCATGATTCTGCCATCGATTCTGGCATTTTGGCAACGTGAAGCAAATCAAGTGATGCGAAACTTCGCTCATAAATAAAACATGTTGCGTCGTTCACACGACACCATTGTTACGGTTATGTTACGAGTTTTGGAAATAATGACGGCATTTAGAGCACGCTAATAAGTTACATGTCGATGGGTGACTATATGTTTTAAGCGCAATGGCGCCTAATGAGGTTAAATGTTTTAGAGAGCCATTTAAAGTTTTAATTTTAGAAAAAAAAAAAACATAAAAGCAAATACTGAAAATAATTTCAATTGAAAAATTACTATAATTTTGCACATTTATTTATTTATTTCATGTTAAAAATTCGCTGATTCTGTATATTTATTTATAAGTCAATATCGCCTAAAATAGCGGTTGAAACAGTTAGCATTTCACCCGTCGATATAGTTTTCTTATAATAGAAGGTAAACGAGCAAACGGTCACTTGAGTTCGCTCGAATAGCGAAGTTGCCGCTTCCTATACACCTCCGGAAAAATTGATAAGGTTATGTACGTGTTGCCCTTAGGCAGGCTGCTATTTTCTCTTAAGCGACGCATAATAACGTTTTTCTTGTCCTGTGCGTTTAAATAAATGTAATATAACTGCTTTAACTATTCAAGTGTTTGTTTGTGCTATTTAGAGGATTTGTTACATTACGTATTGCGATTAAGAAATATTTTTTGATTTCGCGAATGTAAGGAATGAAGAAATTCCAATGTAATTTGAGATTGTTGATAAGTGAACATCGATTTGTGAAGTCGACAGCGTTATGAAGACACGCGATGTGCCTTTTGATTCGCAACCGATACAGCGATGCAACATCGATTACCTAATCGATTGTGCAGTTCAATAATCGATTAGTCAAATCTTTACTTTAAATCCCTACACTTACATACACATTAATTACATGTTATTATTCACGAATCGATATGTCCCATCAATCCAACACCTATAACAGTGGTAGTGCCCGCGTTAACATCTTAGCACTGCAGGGCCGGCACGCCCGGTGTAATACCACGACCACACAGAAGACAGGCGTGAAATGGAAGCAATTCCGTGTTTCGTCTGATGAATGTGGTGCCGGAGGCTTAATTTAGGTCCCTTTCTCTTTACCACCCTTTTCTTATAAGGAGATGTTGGGAAGAGGAGGTGGATTTGACGGTGGAGGATCTCCTCCATGCATGCATAGGAAGGGGAAATATCCTCTTTATGTGCGTCTCCTACTCCGTCGTATAAGGGTAGGCAACGCATCTGCAATTGCGGATGTCTATGGGCAGCGGTCGCTTCGCCATTTTGGCGATTTCAGGTGCCCGCTTGCTCGTTTGCCACCTTATGATTTATAAAAAAAAAAACGTAAGTGTAGTGCTATATCGTCACTGATTGTTATCGATAATCATTGAAATATCGATGTAAAATGCTTGATATGTAATACATATGTATAATCAAAATTAAATTAATTTTATAAGTACAAAATTAATAAGCTAAAAACGATATCTAAATCCATTTTTTCCATAGTAAATTGTCATATCTCATATTTTCCTTTCTAGTATTTTGAAGAATCTTGGTATAATGACGACACCCGACATCTCCCACAGTCCTCTGTATCGGTTACTCAATGGTACGATGTAGACAAAAAAAGTATAATCTTAGCAAAGTAATTACGGAGGATAGTTGCGTTGGTGCGCTAACAATGGGCAGCGCGAGATACGGGCGTAGTGAGGTCGCGGAAACAACCGAAGATTTATCTATCTAAAGAGCATGGTTAGTTGTAAGAGATTCTCTATTCTATTCTCCTGATCTTTTGATGCCTAATTTAAAGACTTGAATGTATGTTGTAATATTTTATCTATAACTTTTTGGTAGGCAGAGAAAAGAGATTTATTGAACTTGTTTAATACAATTCAACTTATTAAACAGTCATTTGTCATTTTACTGGTATCATTGCAAGTTATTCGCAATAATATTAGCAAATTTAATCGATGTATTGTATAGCTAAATGTCTCGATAACCTTTACTGCTTGCACATCACTAGTCTATATTTTGCAACGACCAAACACTACTATACAAAAATATTATGTATGGCATCGCAATAAATTTAATTAAAATAAACCCCGCATCCAATTTGAACTATCGAAATATTTAAGCGAGATACTGTAGATGTGCATAGCATAACTGGAATAAGCGAATGAAGTAAGTCCCAGCGCTCACCTAAGCATTTACAAAGCCCTATTAAGTATTAGAAAGTCAGGTTTAAAACATTATTATGTTAACGGTTATTAGATTGACCAATTGGATTTATTTTGCGGAAAATCAATGTTCATAGTTTCGCAAAGATTTATGAGAATTTAAGTAGCCAGTGTGTAATGCCCTTTATATTGGTATGGTAAGTGAACCTTTGAAGAAAGGGAATTGTTGCCAACACAATGGCGATAACGTGAAATAAATAATGCAATAATAAGCAGAAATGTTATCTTTAATCGCTTTTGTGGCTCGCAGAACTATTTATTCCTGTTTTAATCGGAATATTCTAGATAAAAATTGTCTTGTTTCTTGTTTGTCTAACCTTTTTTAGACAAAACAAAGCGACCGTATCTGGCAGGCGTAGCCAAAAATAAAAACCAAAAAGCAGATAGTCGTTATCTTTTTGAAAAAATATTATTTAATTGAATTAAAAAGGGTTTTAACACTGTTTGTTTAATTTATAAAAGATTACGACTCTAGAATCGAATGGAACAAATATCTTTTTATATTTTTTGTTTGAATTCTTGTCAAACATAAGGAAAAATTTATAGTGTATAGTATACCTGATTCTGACCTTTAAATAAATAGAAATTTATTAGAGTTGGTGAAGGAGGGAGAGGGGTTTGGAACAGGCTCTGTAGCGCCGGTCCCAATGTAAAGGAGTAGAAATAAAAATAAAAATCGCCTAGTAAACACATGGCACGTGGTCTGCGACCTTCACGTGAGGTCTGACCCCGACCCCTGGCGGTGTCTTAATGCTTTTTTTCTTTAATTAACAAATTAGATTCAGATTTAATAGAGCTATAAAAATAATGAACTCTTGAGTGTATGTGGTCGGACGAGTCTGGGATAATTTTAAAATTCCTTAAATATGAAAATTCTAACATAACTATCCATATTTCATCGTATCACAAGATATTGATAGAAAAAAAAAGACGTGATATCAGTGATGGAAAATTTTTTTTAAGGAAATATTGTCTTGGAATAGAACCAATAACCTATAAATACATCTAAGATAGAATACGATTAAAGTTCATACAAAATCATTAATAATAAAGTGCTATGAATAGATATATTACTTATATCAAATAAAAATATGTTGTTGATTTATCAACATAGGTATAAAATAGATACACTATAAATATTGTGAACATTTAAGCTAATATGTAATTAATTTTTAAACGTAATACATAATCAAGTAATATTCATTTGCGAGTGTTCAAGTAAGAAGTGAAGAGTGTCACCGTACAACGCCCAGTTCGACCGGTTTGTTTTTAAACTAAAGTCATACAGCTACACGATGCGAGGCGATTGCGAAGCCAGCATTAGCAGAAAATACGAATGACTACTCATGCGAGTAAAAACACGGCAATGTTAAAGTTGATTGTCAATATAACTTCCGTACTATTGTGATCTGTAGTATTTAGATATTGTTGCACTAATAACATAAAAATGAATACATAGAATCAACATTTTATTCGTATAAAATCATATTGTTAGCGCATCTGTAGGTGTGCAGAAAGCTTAAAATAAATCTTACCTCGTGACCTTTCAGGTCATGTGATGTTCGAACAAGTATTGTGTGCAGACTTTGTCATTATTTGGCTGGACACTTTATTTTTAACTTTGTGGTTTTCTTAGCGTTTAAATATATTTAACTGCCGTATTCAGAGGTACTTAGGGCGATTAACGGTTACTTTAAATATAAGTAAATTACTCAAATTTAAATTAATCCCACGGGACTACCTAGGTGATTACTCAAGGACACTAACATATAACACGCTGTTACATATTTAAATATCGTTTCAGTATTAGGCTGTATAAGCAATTTAGGTAAATAATTGTATAGTACGAGTATGACTTCTTGATACTTCTAAAATATTTATCGTATTTGTGAAAACGTGAAATGTTCTGGTGAAGGCTGTCTTTTAAGGAAGTGTCACATAGCTTGTAAAGCGCCACATCTGTGGGCGGATGTACTAACTTCATATAGTATTAGTTCCGATAATGAGATCATCACGAATATTTGAGCAATTCTATGGATTTCGTGGTCGGGTATTGAAAGATTGGTTACCTAACGGAATACAATAGATTTTATTACTGTTATTAGAATTATATTTACTATAATAAGTTATTTGCATAAATTAATAGTTATCTGACAATTCTTTTTTTAACGTTATTAAAATTATTATAATTGTAAGTTAAACATGCATTAGAAGGGCAGCCAAAACAAAAGTAACCGACCTCGGGGAGCCACAGTTCGTTCCCACACCGCGTACACTCAACCCACTTGTACGTAATGTCTGTACACACAAACATAGCCTGCATCCTCTTAACCAATACATTTATTTTCGTAATTTTAATAAATTAATAAAAAAGATTTAATAACTATGTTTAAATTTGCATTTTACCGTAAAGTTATATATTAAATGTTTATTGAATACCTTATATCTATAAGTATTTGATAATTTTTGCTAAAAACATAAAATCTTACTAATGTTATAAATGCGAAAGTTTAGATGGATAGATGTTTGTTACAGTATGTAGCCGAAACTGCTTGTAGGATCTCGATGAAATTTGTCATAGACGTGGAGGATAATCTGGAAGAACACATAGGCACTTCACACACTTTTGTTTTTTAAATACCACGCGGAGAGAATCGCGGGCGAAAGCTAGTATAAACGTAATGTATTATGTATTAGATACAAATAGATGCAAAGGTTAAGATGTTTTAGCGCTAGAGTTCTCAATATCTGTACATAGTCTTTCAAATACATATTTAGCCAAAAGATTGAAAACTAAGCTTATAGATTTTATACTATTGTCACCTCAACTCTTCCAAGGTTTTTAAGATAAGATATAGACGTCCTCAACTTAGGTTAGAAGTTAATTATTTGATGAATGTATTTTATCTATATAACATACGATATTTATTGTCAAAATGCCTTACCTTTGTCTAGGAAGGTTAAATATTGATATATGCTGCCATTTATAACATTTTTCTAAAATAAAAACATCGAAAAGTTGTCATAAAAGAATACATTACCATGATTTTTTATTTCTAGTAAATTTCTTAGTCTATTGTAAGAATTGTTGATTAAAAAAGCCTGTTTTTAAAGACTTTTTCTAAATATTGTACACATAAAATTTAAGGAGGGATATGCCTGACGTTGGTCTTTTAAAGGCTAGTAGAGCACATCTTATAATGTTGCATTGGGTTTTATTTACTAGTTTCAGTAGGCATCAGTCTTTAAAGACTGTTCTGGATCGTATTTAGTCAATTGCTTTTCTAACATTGTTTTATTATCTAACAATGGTGTAGCAATCCTAGCCAGTCGGTTTCCGTCAGCCGTCGCGCCGTGCCTGGCTCCAAGTGTCCGCTCTAATTGTAGAGGGCGCTACAATGAGATTTATCTTGTACGTAACCGCGGAACTGCTATACTGAGGCAAGAGGTCGGAGGTCGAAGGTGTAACTATTAAGGAGGTATTACAGTTTATTGGCTTCTGTTGTTACATAATATGTAGGCGTCTCTAGTTAAGTTCATTATGTAACGATGTTTTCAAACTTAATTACCTATTTTGAAATTAAATATTGATTTTACTGTGTTTCTTATGAGGTAACTTTTTAGTTTTTTTTTATATTGCAAAAACCAGCGCTTGACCACTATCCCACCTAGACCAAGGTGAAGATGTGGTCGAAGGATGGTACGCGCTAGTTTAGTTTTGTGTGAGATACAGTTCAGTTGTTACATGTCAAGTTTTTGTTAATAAGATATTTTTATAACAAAAACCTATCTCTTGTCTTAGAATATTCACAAGCATTAAAATACAAGTTGCAGAGATAATTAGATTCATGAACAATTAAACGTGATATCGAAACAATAAAGTCTGCGCACAGAATCTCTGCTTGAAGTTGGCGATTCGCGAGACTCAAGACAATAAAATACTTTTTACGCACTTTAAAAATATTCATAAAAGTCCCGTATTGTCACAACTAGATTGAAAACTGTACATTATAACAAAAGTAACAAATTTACAAGGGCGGGCCCACACCTATGACTACGGCACAACTTTTGCACGATTGTCAATTTTTTCGCAGCAAATTCAACTGTTTAGTTGCACAACTTAAAATCGAGTAGTGTGCGCACCTCCATATAAGCTCATAGGAATCAAAGCGCGACTAAATAGTTGTGCGATTGTTTAGTCACAGGGTGCACGCGTTATAAGAATTCTAGTTCACGGCAGATTGTGTAGTGTTTTACAAATTCGTAGTTTTTTTTCGAAATAAGTATGTAAATTTTAAATTTCAATAGATGGGACATAAATGTTTTCACATCATTCGTGTGACGACATTGTTATAATAAATAGCTTTTGTTTTTTTTAATTCCAGCCAGTTCGTAGGCGCGTTTAGAGGAACAATAGGTAGTTGGCAGTAAACCGTAACCTTAAAATCAAATACATTCATTTCGCAATCCATTGACGACTTTATACAAATATTGCGAAAACGTGCGTTCAATTTATCGTACTAAATCATTTAGATAAACTGAATTTATAGTAATAGATATTGTATTTTTAAATCTTACTTATTATAAATGCGAAAGTATAGATGGATGGATGGTGTGTTAGAGTTTGTAGCATAAACTGCTGAACGGATCTCGATTAAATTTAGCAAAGATGAAGAAGAGGATAGTCTGGAAGAATACAAGGGCTGCTTACATTTGTTTTTTTTTATTTCACACGGATAGAGTCGCGGGCGAAAGCTAGTATTAAATAAAAATATTTATTAAACTATGATGAAGTATTTGATGGAAACAATTAAGTATTGTGTTGTTCCATTACTCTATTGAAGTATTTTAGTCAATCATGTGTTTTTTGTGTGTTCAGGAAGATAGACGCGTGGTGAAGCCCCCGCCGACAAGGTTCACATGTCGGGGTCGCGCGCCCGGGTACTACGCCGACATGGACACTGGGTGTCAGGTCAGTGAATTGAGAATAATTTTCTGTCTTACATACGTATTCTTGACCTGTTATTACGTATACTATGTACGTGTAATATGTTGATATAATGAGTTAATTGTAAAATATTAGTAGATTTTTATTGATTTACTAATATTTCCTTTAATAATTCCAACTAAGCTCTAGGCTTGTGCTAGGATATGGTTCACGACAATAGCCGAATGGTGGGATTCGAACCCTCGATAGGTAGTCCGTACCCCGAACCATTAATTAGTAGATTTTTATTAATTTACTAACATTTCCTTTAACCATTCCAACTAAGCTCTAGGCTTGTGCTAGGATATGGTTCACGACAATAGCCGAATGGTGGGATTCGAACCCTCGACCGCAAGATCGGTAGTCCGTACATTAGGCTATTGGCGTTTGGCGTTTATTATGTTAGCAGTTACCTGAACGAAACATAAAATTGTTCCGCTTCCTCTGCCGTGACTTGTGCAAGCTATTTTACTGTTGCTAAGCAAGACAAACATCCGGAGCAATTAATGTTAAGTCAGCGGGAACAGATCATGCATTCAAAGCATCGAACACCTCATTATTGATCATGCTATCGTGTTACATAGTCTATACATAGATGTAACACTATTAGAACGGCCAAGCACAGGAAGCGATTTAACCGTAGCGATTGACACGGATTTTGATCCGACAATCAATACCTAAATTTAATCTAAGGTAGTCTTTTTTTATTTTAATATAAGGTGGCAAACGAGCAAGCGGCCACCTGAATCCAGTGAAATGGAAAGCGATCGCTGCCCATAAACATCCACAGTTGCAGATGCGTTGCCTACTCTTAATTGACGGAGGAGGAGACGCACATAAAGAGGATATTTTCCATTCCTATGAGTCTCCTCCACCGTCAATTCCACTTTTCCTTCCCATCCTTTCATATTAAGAAAAGTGTGGATAGGGAAATGGAATAAAATTAGTCCTCCGGCAACACACTTATCAGACGAAACGCGGTATTGCTTCCACTTCACGCCTGTCTTCTGTGTGGTCGTGGTATTGCACCGGGCGAGCCGGTCCATTCGTGCGAAGATGTTAAAGCGGGCTCCACCACTGTTAAGTTTTTCTTAGTTGTAAATATTCTAAGATTCTAATACTAAATTCTGTAGTTTCTATTTGTCTTCAAATGATTGTAATCAAGTGATTAATCATATTTTGTGTCATCTCCGACAAGATGTAAATTATTATGTTATTAGTATTGTATTTTATTAAGGATCAGTAACGTAGAAGCCTAGTTTATGCAATGCTAGCTATAACCGTGACTTTGCGCGGATTTTGTTCTTCATTTGATCTAAACATTAAAATCCGTTAAACCGCATTTATTATTTTAATATAGTTTATGATATTAAATAGTAAGAAGTTAAGCTTACTAAATCAGTTTACGCGTTCTATTATTAAAAAATATCTTGGTTACAAGATGTACGTTGAAACTTCGATACAGATTATCTATGGTTACCGTAACGTTTTTTATAAGTATTTCGGTATAAGATTTTTTACTACGTAAAAGGAAATGTATATCGTTATTATGCAACAGATGTTACTCATAATTGTTCCTCGAAATATGACCACATCTGACATGTCAGAGTGAGTAATATTGCTTTCTTGTTTACAACCATCCATTTGTCTTTTGCGGCTCCTAAAGGGCCATCGGTATTGGAGGGTCAAGGTTTTTTTAAGATGAATAAAGATAAATATTAAAACCCGCAAGCCTCGGAAAATATTGATACGAGAAATCGCCGCCCGATGAGTTTATTTTTATAAATTTCCAATTATATTAAAAACTTCACTACTTACTAAATTTCAACCATTTTGAATGCTAGAATATTAAATACAACCGAGGGAAAACGACCAATTTATAACAAGAAAATAAACAACGTCGTTATAATGTGCTAGATTAGTGAAGCTAACAAATATTCATAAATTATATATTTCATAAATTATCCGCGTTGTTCAGCGCTACGCGCACGCGCAGCAAACAGCAAACAGACGCGAGCAGACCGCGTCAGTCATGTGACTTTGACTCCGCGAAAGGAGGTTAAGTGTCGCGCATTGATGCTTTGTTTTGTTTGCATCAATTCAAACTGACACATAATTATATATTATTTACCTTACATAACATAGTAATAAAAAATATATCACTATATCTACAATAAGTTATATAATGTTTGCTAAAAGATTAACTCTAAAAGTTTACCAACTTTATTAATTTCAATTACAATATTACGAAATTTTTTAGTACTACTAACTTTAACATACTTCTTTTTATTAGTTAAGCTGGGATTGCACCTTGGACTTGAAAATTATCCTACGTCCACTTGCGACGTTATTACGTTTAGTATTCTAAACGATGTGCGTTTGTTTTTTATTCGCATTGCTACTTCCGACAATTAGTGTCAATTAAGATTGAAGTGTAAAAAACGATACTAGTATACTCTGAAATATTTTTAATGTGTGATCCAGGTTATGACTTACTGAATATTGCTGACCCCTTTGGCGTTTCTATCCTGTTTTATTTGTAAACTAGCTGTTCCCGTGCGATTGCATTAGCATTAAAATATTTTCTTGTTTACATGTGTCAAATTGTCAATTGCAAATGTCAACATGACGCGACAGTCTTGCTTCCTTGATGTTGGCAGCAACTTATAGTCTCTTTCACACATTAGGGTTTTTATCCAAAATATTTACCCCCTAAGTTTAATGGCGTTAAAATATATAGCGTAAAGCGTTACGAAGTGTAGGGCTTATTGTTAAAAAGAGAATTATTCAAAAATATGCTGTAATTGTTGACATCTTAGGCAACAAAGAAGTGTGTGTTTACGCTTTTTTATAATAAGTATAGATATATATTATAACGCGGAATTGTCAATCTTTTAGGTTCAAAACCTTAGTAGAGGTTAAATAAAAAAATAACTGTTATAAAGATGGCTCTGAGCTTGACTTTTCATTATTTATTGTCAGATGTTGACGTTTTTTCGAAACATCTGGCGGAGTAATGAGGGGTCAACGTTAAAACACGTTATTTATAACCATTAAGAGGTCGCCGATTGACGAATGACATAATTTATCTTAAAGTGCAGGAAAAATTTGCGAAACGAAAGAAATTGGTTACTAAAATAAATTTATTATAAGCTTTTAATTCTATGTTACAAAAAATACCAGGTTTAGATACGTTTTTGTGTAGTTACTCTATTATTCTTTATTGAAATCCATCGACCTGTATATAAATATAAAATTGACTATGAATTTATGTAAATAATATTTTTTTTTGAAACAGACCAATTTTCTTAATATTATTTAGAATATTGTTGGGGTCTTTGTGTCGGAATTAACACGTGTGTACGCAAGGTCACGAGATGGCGCTGCTTCCGGGCACAGATAACATCTACAAATATTAAAATGGTAGCCGCTAACAAGGCGACGCTAAATTGTTGCTATTACGTGCAATTTTATAAAAGATGCTGCAATAAGATAATCTTTGTTTACGTCTCTGAGATGTAACTAAGTAAACTTCACGCTAATTGACCACGTCTAGTTTAGATCGTATCTCACGTACTTTTATATTATTTAATTTTTAAGTATTCTCTAGTATTTGTTAAGTGTACGTGTGTAAGGATAAATATGACTTAAAAATACCAGAAAACTACATGTATTTTGCTATAAAGTTATATTAATAGTTTTATTACTAGTCGTACTTCATACTAAAATTATAAATGCGAAAGTTGAAATTGATAGATCTTCCAAAACGACGTAATGGATCTCGATAAGATATTGCACTCATACAGAAAGTGTTCTGGATGAACTCAAATACTTACTTACTAATTTTTTTTTAAGTCGCGGGAAATCCTAGTCTGTACTAATATTACAAAGAGAATAGATTTGTATTTTAGTATGTATTTGATTCACGTAAAAACTACTGGGCCGATTTTAAATTTTCTTTCATCATTAGAAAAGTAATTTATCTGTAAGTAACATAGGTTATATTTTTAAATTTCGCGGGTGAAGTCGCGTGCAACAGTTAGTAATCAATAAATCATTGTTGATATACAAATCTTAATTCCCACGACTTATCTTTGTGTGATCTTAATCAAGATAATAACGCTTTCTAAATACTTATTATTTGTCTACGCAACCTTTATAGCAATGTTTGAATCTCACAAACTATTCTAAGCAGTTATTTGAATGGATCACTTAACCTTGTCCTACTACAAAATAAGTGCGTGGGTTATTTTTAATCTGTTGCTAACGATGCGATTACATTTTATTAGGCTCTCAAATATAAATTATTCAGAAACACCATCGGATGTTAAGTTTGTTAGCTTAAAGTATAATGCATTAATATGTAGATATTTGAGAAATTAAAATGTCAAGAAATTAAAAAATACGTGACTTAAAATAATAAAATACTGTTTTATAACAAATTTTTGTATACGATCTCTTTAACATAAACTTGCAGGAATGTCGCATAAGACGAAAGATGGAAAGTTTGAAAACAACAAAAAAAATCGTTATTATACCTAGGAAAAGGAAAAAATCTACATAGACTAAATTTAAAAAAATTAACCAGTTCAAATATCAAATTTGGCTATTACAACAGTTTATTTAACCACAATCATATTAACACAAAACAATTAGTGTATTTAGTTTCCGGTAGATGTCAGGAACGTATTCTATTCACGGGCGTGTAGAACATAGCTTCATTGCACTAAAGTTCAAATAGTATTCGAAGGGCGCAATTATAGAATTCATATTATATCTATTGCTTGTAATGAAAATCTCGTTATGACTGACATTTCATGCCATGGAACCCTACTGTGACGAGATTTCCATCAATGATTTACACGACTATCAAATATGATCAATTTCAGGGGAAATCTTGGTATTTCAGACGACTAAACGACAAGAAATACCACAATGCTAAGTTGCTGAGTATAACTTAACGAATTACATTATATTACTTAGACATAGGAATTACAATCTACACATCATGTCTTCAAACTGCAACTATATAAGCGAAGCTTTTTTACGATGAGAGAAAAGAGGTAGAGACTAATAAACCTTGAAAATCTTCGTTTTAAGCAAATGATGATTGTCGGTGTGAAGTGAACCACTGACAGGACCTTGAACTTTCGTTTTACGTAACCGAAGATACGATTAACTACAGAGGTGTGCCGATGCGGTGATACTTTTACTTTTTAACACTGAATTTATAATGATTTTGCGTAATATTTACACTCGTGCTTTTAGTATGTTTTTACAGTTCATTCATTGTGCTAAGTTAAGGGTTTAAAAATGATAATAATGTCATATATACTTCATTAATCGTGGAGTTAAGTATAGTCTAACCAAGAATATAACAATACAGGTTCATACAATATGGATAGAGTTTTTATATTACTGGTCAGGCTATAAGTTTAAGTCTGAATTAATAATTACTTAATGAAATTATTTAAAAAATAATATAAATATTCCGCACAAGAATATGTAACAAAGTAAATATTTCAAATAAAGGACGAAAAATGTTTGTTCAATGTCGACGGGAAGTATCACTTAAGGAAATAAAATATTTATTCACATTATTTGCTTCCACGCTGGTCGTTTACAATTTCATGGTTTTTAAAAATTAGTAAATCGGATTTTAATAAAACCTTTTTATGGATTCAAGTAAAGGCGAGAGTATATATTCCAGTAGCTGGCACACTTGAATGCTAGTCCCTGCAAATGTCAATTGGTAACACAATATTTTGCAACAGCTGCCTCCATCCAAGTTGTCGGAGGACTCGAAGGCAGTACGTAGCTTGGCACGTTTCGTTTCATAAGTTTTCATAAACTGCCATACAAGCAACTGTTCAATTTTATTGACATGTATTTTCCTGACCTAATGCTTATAGAATGTCTCGTAAAACTCAAGTAATCAAATTTTAATCTCAAAGTTAGGCTGTTTTAAAAACTAAATACACCGACAGCTAAGCAACTGTGATTTATGTAGGTCACTGTATTACTAAACGGTGATTGTAGTTTGATCCTTCCGTTAGCGACCTGCTTTTAAACATAATTATTATGTATTGCGACGTTACAAATTACAGCTGTTTTAAAGTTACGCTATATTGTACCAAGATATAACTTACTATATTTCCAATGGTTACAAATATCACAATTAAGGGTTCTTTAACCCCTTACAACCTTTGTTATCATTTACCCAATAACAACTAGAAAGACAAACAACATTTCTACATTATTGGAACGACGTAAAGCATTTGTGGAACAAAATAAAATAATTTTTAGAGACATAATTGAATAAAATGCTCCTTCAATTCGTTTCAACTAATATTAATTTATAAATATTTAAAGTAAAGCCTAAAGGAGGATTCGTTTAGGACAGTATCAAACATTCCTGTAAGGAGGTCATGGCGGCGCGTTGACAAAGTTCAGTCGCCGAACGCCGCGCTCTAATCTGTAAGTGCCATCAGGTGAATTTAGGAGGGCAAAAATATAAATAAACTTATTCTAAACAACAATTAATAACTATGAAATTATCAGCAAAATTTCCGCTATTTTTTTCAGACCAGTTGTATTTTGGATTGTGTGCATTAATGTTAAATGCAGGAAATCATAACATAAACGTAGGATGTACAATGTTTTTGCCGCCTTACTTTAGCTGTAAAGTTGAACATGTTTTAATTGACTCAACTTAATTAACAATGGAAGTCAATTAAAAAAATAATAAAACATCTAGATGCTGTAAAATTTTGATAAGAGACTTTTGTACGTTTTCAGTCACGTAAACCAAATCAATAGTTGTTTTTATCTGACCTTTGACTGCAAAGGTCAGTGATCCGGGTCGCTTCAGTTCGTGATAGTTTTTATGCAAGACGATCTGTCGCAGATACGCAGTGAGCTAGGAATGAGGAAGTAAAACCTTCGCAATGGGACTACATAAAAATTAAATTCAACATACTACTTCGTATGTTACAATCGAAACTAACTTGAAATTTACTTATAATCCTCCATCATTCCGGAAATAACCTCAAATTGTGTTGATATCAAATAACACTTTGTGCTACTTGTCTATAATAATACCGAATTAAGAAAGGTTATAAGAGATTGGTTTCGTGCACGTAATGTTTGATAAAAAAACTATTACAAAATGCGAAGCAAACATAACCTAATAGCAATCTTCAGTACATTAGAATAGCAGCGATTAAGTTTGTAGACGTAACTTTTGCAATGTGTATTCACTTGATTTGTTGCACTATAAATAGTCGAATATTGTAAAGGTGCGCACCGACTAATGTGATTGTAAAGAATGGTGACGTTTGCGATGTGAACATCAATTTCCTCATTAAGATCTTGGTAAATAGCTATTTATTGTAATATCCACAGTACTCCTGAAATATATAAAATGAACTCACATACGTTCAGTTTTGACTGAACAGTTCGACCATTTAGTTGAAATTGTCAGTATGTAGGTAAAAAATTATTCTATGTTTTTTTTTTTTAATTCAGTACGAAAAATAGTAAATACATGGATGTCATTGTCAATTATAGATTTTATCATAACTATAGCACTCTATCGTTCATGCTTTACCTTGACCTTATTTTTTAATTCGAACAATATTTCTTTTTTGTTTTAAATCGATTACAATTCGTGTACGATCGTGTACATCCGTCTTTAAATACAATAAAGTGTTTATGCATTAACAAAAAATCAATTTGATATAATTCAAATGCATTAGGTATTTTAATGCTCTGACTGTCGAACAGTTGAACGTTAGTCACGGTTAAAGTAGCAGAATGTATGTAGTGTGTTAACACCCTTTAGTTTATATTACGAAACCTTAGATAATTACAGAGAATTAAGAAAAAAAATATTTCTACAAGTACACGAGTAAACAAACATAGACAGACGTAATTATAGTCGTCCGCTATATCACTTGCTTAATACCTCTAGCTTAACTCTAATCCGTAATTAACAATCAATTTAATTCAACAACAAATGTAAGTTACAAAGATTTGTAATAATTACATTTTGAATACGAAATACTAACAAAAACCCTTTGATACAGCAACAAAGGCTTACATTTTTTACTGCGATAAAATAGAAATTAAACACAAAAGCGTAGAGGTTTAAAAACAATGTACATTTGCTATTTCAAATAGCTTCCTGATACCTACAGGAAAATTATTGAACACGTCAAACACTAACATATTGCATTAAAAACAAACCATTAATCTTAAAACTAAACGCATTCCAGTTTACAAGGAAGATTCTTAATTACATATTAATCATTTCTAACAATGTTGTACGATTCCATTGAATAATTAAGCCATTTGTTTGTGGATTTCAATAGTGAAACAAAACACTTCTATACAGCCATCTCTTTCTAACTCTTGCAAATAACAGAGACAACAAATTATTCTACTACAATTGTTTCGTCGCTGGAATTTCACGGCTCAATAAAGCCTTGTAACAGTTCAATCAATGCGTCCAATACATGTCAAACGAAGAATTCATTTTATTATAATGAGCCTTGTAGAAAAGTCTTGATCCTGCCGACCCCGCAACATCAATAACGGCACAATAATCACTAATTATAGCTATTATTATCTAATCACATTCTAACACACTTCATAATATAACAGACGTTGATGACGTCACATCCGTATATGCACATATTAAAATATATTTACAGGTCAACAACCAAAGATATTATGACTACACAGAAAACGGCTCTGGCCATAAATTTAGGTATAGGATTAAGGTCGCCCAATAAAAGAACTTCCAAATTTTGGGATAATGTCACCTAATTTCTTCATAGAATAGCTTGATTTGGCTTGACCACATAAACTTGAGTGGGATATGACAGTTGTGCTGTGACACATCTCCAGCCCCGCTTTAGTTCTGTGGCATCATCCTTAGCATTGTACTAGTGCGCTTCCATACCAGCGATGTAATTAATTCTGTGTAATGTGTTGTGTGCAGGTGTACCACATGTGTGACGGCATGGGGAGGCAGTTCAGCTACTCGTGCCCCAACACGACACTATTCCAGCAGCGGATGCTGGTCTGCGACCACTGGTACATGGTCAACTGCTCCAATGCTGAGCGAGACTACGATGCCAACTTGCTTATTGGTGAGGAATTGATAATTCACATATTTAAGGTCACAGGAATCGCCAGAGATGATCTACGCTAGGTGCGACAGATGCCCAGTCTTGTCCCCTCTAGGTGACGCCTAAACAAAAGGTTTATTGAATATGCTAAGCACATACAGTTAAAGCTTTAAGCTCTATTTGTTGACAAGGTCGCTGTCAACACTTCCACATTTGCATGTGACCTCAGCTACCGAAGACGCGCAAAGTGAAAGCCCAGCTTAAAGCGCTCCCTGCGGATTACTTGTTACGAAATCGTTATTTACTTGAAAAAAACTTAGCATTCCATTTTGTGCAAATATTAACTATGATAATTTATATTAAGAAAGCTTTGAGCTTCTTTAACTGTAAATAGAATTTACATTTTGTATTATCTTGTCCCTAGATAACCGATTTCTGATATTTTCGGGTAATAGTATTTCTTCATGGGTCTTTAATTTTGTTTCCTACTTTTAGAAATATCGTCTCGGCTAAAATTGCCGTCAGGCTAACTGCAATGTCAAAATGTTAGTATGACATAACAAGTGGTACATAAACATGAAATGCCACATCTCGGACAATGAATTGTATATAATTCGTGTGTTACTTGTCTTACTACATTCCTCATCACGAACTTAGATATAGGGTTGTCAAACATTTTATTTTTCTTGTCAAAATATACAAATATTACCAATATTTTTTATTTGCTACTAGTAATATTATTTAGGATAAATTGTCCTTAAAGTGGATTACTACATTAAATTCACTGGGGTTCATAGCAAAAATAGATTAAAGTCATGTGGTGGTTAATCCTCTGGAAAGAATAAATAAAAGTTGATAAATGCTTTACTAAAATTATAAATTTTCACAATATTGTTTTTTTAACACTTGACAGCCCTGTGGATGCGTAACATATAATAGCAACAATTTATAGGCAGCGAGCCGTGACAAAATAATAATTTACTTCTTCACAAAAATATTCTATTATTTTATTTTGTAACTTGAAAACTTCGATACACCAAAACACATAAGAAAGCTATTTCAAATTTGAGCCGTAAATGAAAACTTATTGATAAATCAGACATTCGGGAATCTAGAAGGAAACGAGAAAGCAGCGCCCCTACCGGGCGTAAGGTACACTTACAGATCTAATACTTTTGACTAGGACCTTACGAATACATTTTCAGTCCCAACTCTTCTTGTAAGCCCTGTAAGAAAAGAGTTTTGCTATCAACATTTCCTAGTTCAAATACGTGACGTGTTGAAACAATTAAGTCACCTTCACACGGCCGGAATTCCTCTCCAGCAATTAGTTGTTCATTGCCTTGTCTATCAAACTCGGCTAATGTAAGTGAGATGCGCGCTTCTTTGTTCATACAAGGTAACTCCTATGATAGAATTATAATAAAGGTTAAAAACTAATTTTATGGAGCCTTAGTTCCTGTGTAAAGTTTACTGCGTATCGTTACGGAGAGATAAGCATAATAAAAGTAATGAGATAAGACAGATGTAAAAGGGATCAACAAATGATACCAGTCTAGGTTAAGTCAATCTATAACATGTGTGAACTTTGCAGGTCAACGGGACAAGCCGTTCGTATCTGATGAAGACATGAGGTCGCGAACTCCGCGGCCTGACGTGCTCTCAGTACCCCCAAACAACAACTACTACGATGGCCTGAGGGAGGCTGAGACGAAGGTAAAATGCGAAGAATGAATATGAAATCTTCTAATGCTCGTTATTAAAGCAAAATGTTTTCATAAATTCTACCTTGTTTCAGTTCCCTATACATCCAGGTAACAGTATCGGAGGCATCGCCGACTCTATCTCAGATGATAACAACGAGCTGGACAGCGACAAGCACAGGTTCCGCCCACAGACCTCCTGGTCTATCGGTAAAGCTACGGAAAACAATTTTGGCAGAAAACGCAACAGGATAAACAAACAAGATAGAGACAGTGTGACTGAGGCATCTCAAAGGGTACAACCGACATTTGCACCGACACCTAGTGATAATTTTCCAAATATCAATCAGGTTAATGTCCCACCTCCGTCGAGAGAGCTCAGCCCCCCAATCCCACCGGCGACAACAGAATCCGCAGACAAATTAACATCCAATAAAGATGGAACCGAAGATCCTGTATTTACTTTCATTAAACGTTTCGATCCAAACGTGCCGGACTCACACAAAACTTCAATGACCAAAACCGAAATTATAGACATTAACAAAGAATTACCTCAGGGACAAGTCAGCTCCGAAGAGGACAGAACACCGCGCAGAAACAAGAACTTTGGCAACACTTTGAATAAAGTGAGAAACGATAAAAAGAAAGGTGCAGTAGAGAACACGAGGTTCGATACTGTCAATGTGAAGCCTGATACTGTTGAAACGAATAATGAAAATACAGACAACAGTCAAATTCCAGTCCCCGATAGACACTTATTGCCTCCTAAGTCCGAATATTCTAAGATACCATCAACAACGATGGGACCACCGATATACTACGAGTGGAAGTGGGCGGTGCCGGCGTTCGGCCTCGAACCGCCCAAAGAAAACAACGCTACCAATATAACAGCAGCGCCACAGAAAAGAACACCACCGGGCAGGAGACCGTACAGTGACGTCATCAGGACGACCACAACGCCCGCACCACCGGACCCACTCAACACGGAATACAATATCAGTTCATACTTCGTGCCGGACTACGTGTTCCCTCTGGATAAGCCACATCCAGGTTACGATGATGACAACGCGGAGACATCGTTCCACGTGAGGGTGGCGCGGCCCGGCCGCTCCAGCTACGGAGAGAACCCCGCCTGCCCGCAGTGCCACCCCGCTTATCTCAACCCGGGCACCTGCGAGCCCTGCATCGTTCGGTAACTAACTACTATCGGGGAATCTGGCGGTGTTACACACAGTAGCTACAAGTCTGTTTGAAGAGACGACGCGAAACAATAACCAATAGAATGTTTTTTTTAATGTTTGTATGATATATAATTTGTTGTTTATCAATATCCTTTCCATTGTGCAACTCAATGCTAATTCGTTATTTGTAAGAGGTGGAGTTTGTATCGTTGAAAGGAACAATACAATTTCTCTGTAAGTGGGTCACCGCGAATTGCCCTGACTGTACCTATACTTAGTTATCAGGCCATTTGTAAATATGACATTCAGTACATAATTATGTTATATGAATATGACTCTCTTTTATGATTTTATTTAAGACGATTTTTGTATTTTACCTTTATTAAAAAATATTTTTGTTATTGTAACTTAATGTTTTTCAGTACAAAGAATTGTTACGTTCGAATTTGTTTCATTGACAAAAACCAGTTAGAATTAAAATAACATTAAAAAGAGAATCTCTATCCTCAAAGCCAATGTTAACTTAATTAAATTACTTTAAAGGATATTTGATAAGATTTTAGTATAATTACAATTATAAGGGTTATGTTAACTTAGGAGTACTTAAGAACTTATAAAGTTAGATATTTATGTTTTGTATAGTTTTGTGTGTGCCTGTTACATTAATAAATACTTAAGTTACAGAAAAACGAATGTTTCATTTTAAATAAAAACACCATTTTTGAGTCGACGAATTTATTATAGAAAAAAGGAAAAATATACAATAATCATAACTAAATACTAGTTTTATTTATTTACAATTAATAAATTATATTTAAACAGCACAAAATGCTAACTCTAATGTTATATTTCATTGCAAATGAAACAAATCTATTTTCAATATTTACTATACTTTATTAAATAACTTGTAACATGTAAAATTCACTGTAAACAATTACTATGAATAATCCATAATAGCACATTTTATCATAAAGTTTAAATAATATTTATACACTTATATGATTACCGACTATTGTATGTTACTTCTGTGGTACAAACAGTAACATTCCAAGACACAGTTAAATGCTTGCACCTTTGCACACTCTAACATCATCGCAGTCGTGCTGTGGCATGTGTGGCATTAGTGTGTCGGCGGTGGCAAACATCAGTCGGAGTGTATCTCCTCTGCCACCTGCTGCCACTTCGCCACCAGGCTGGACACAGACTTGTGCTTCATGCCCATCGAAGTTGATATCTTCACCTGAAATAATTATTATTTACATAATTAACAACTAAATCAAGAAATCATTAAATTGTTAACAAAAAATTATAAAGTTCCTAATTCACAGTCGCGGAAATCGTCGGTGTTACAATGTTACAAAAATTGCCTAGTTCTTTACGATGACAGAAATTTCGCCTCTTTTATAAATAACCAATTAGGCAGCAGCGAGTTGCTTAAACGGGATTAAATTAAAAAGCAAATTAACCTATTTGACATTTTTTTCTTGCTGGGTTCTGTTAGAATCCGCGTCGTCTCAGTTGTTACGAAACTAAAAAAGAACACTGACAGATTTCTTGATTGTACATACCTTGGACTTCTTCCTGTGGGCCCGGGCGTCCCGCTCCCTGTCTCTCTCCCGCGCCCTGTCCCTTGCCTCGGAGGAGGCCGAGGTGGCGGAGGTGAGGGTGGTGGCGCTGGTGGCGCTGGTGGCGGTGGGGGCGGCGGTGGCGGGGGGTGGCGAGGGTGGCGAGGCGGGCTCAGGGGTGTCGCGGTGTGTCGGGGGCGGTGCGGCGGGTGCGGCGGGTGCGGGGGGCTCCGCCTGCTTCTCCAGCTCCGCGATGTCGTTGTAGAAACTCATCAGCTCCTCGGAGATTTCCGCCTTTGGCTCCTACACAAGAAATTTATAACTTAACCAGTATGAATACATTTTTGAAATAAATGAGAGATATTTGATTATTGTTGCTACTTTATGCGCTTAAACTTGAAAAATGACTATAAATTTTATAATTCCGCTTTGGCTCTGTTTTTGATAAAGCGTAAAAGCTACAGTGATTTTCACTTGAAACATTTTTCACATAATCATCACTAACAATATCTATTGATAGCCTCAAAACAACATGTCAATATAATTACCGATGGTGGTGGCGGTGGCGGTGGTTGTGGCACGTGTTGCGGCGGTGGTGGCGGTGGCGGGGGAGGGGGCGTGTCGTCGCAGCCGGGGGGCGGGGGCTCGAGCCAGCGCGGCGGCGGCGGGGTGGGGGGCGAGGCGGGGCGCGCGGGGGAGGGCGGCGCGCTCGCCGGCGGACACACCTCCTCCTGCTGGCAGATAATTTACATATTGAAAAACAGGACAGAAAAAAAGTTTCTAGTACTACTTATTTAGATTGAGCTAGATCAGTCGGCGATGGCCATAGTTGTTAAAAGGAACTGTAGATTCACACTTCAACATTATTTTCAACATTTAAAAGTTAAATTTTACTAATATTATAAATGCGAAAGATTAGATGCATGTATGTCAGTCTGTAGCCTAAACGGCTGCACTGATTTGATGACATTTGGTATAGATGCAGAGGATAGTCTGGAACACTTTATATTTTTAAATCCACGCGGATAAGTCGGGGGCGAAAGCTAGTACTAATATTACAAAGAGGAAAAATCCTTTTTTTTGTATGTATTGTACTAACTCAAAAACTAGAAGATCGATTTCAAAAATTCTTGCACCAATAAAAAGCTATGTCATCACTGAGTGACATAGGCTATGCTTTTTTTATTTCAGGACGAAAGCTAATAAATAAACATGTGACCTTGGCGTCAGCGGAGGCGTGCGGCGGCGTGGTGGAGATGTCCATGTCGGTGTTGTCGAGCGCGGGGTACTCCCACTGCTGCAGGCCGTCCGCCTCGCGCCGGTAGCGGTAGCGGCCCGCCGCCCTGCGACAGCGCACCGCTCACACCGCGCCCGCAGCGCCACACGCACACACGCCCACACGCCCCGTTGCTTTACATGACCGAGCCGTCTTAAACCTCTATGCATTTTAAATTATGTGTCAAAAATGACTATTCTTTCAAGTAATAGTGTCTCGTATTGCATTTGCAGCGATAAAGTTTAAGACAACTAAAATCATCTAAAGAAAAAGGGCTCACTTAATATACTAAATAGAAATATTTTGACCGCATGAATCAGACTTCAAATTAAGTCCAATTCATATATTTTGAATTAAATAGTGTATACTAAACCCATAGACATTTTCTGTCTATTTTGATCTCATATTTTCCGCGGTAGCTACTTATTTATGCAAATAAAGTTGGAAAACAGAGTTGCCAAATCATTGCTATAGGCAAAAATTATCTTTTTGTTTGTTTAACATGGCAACACTTCTCTGACTGTCAAAAGGCCTGTCCGGTGCAAACGGCGAATCTGGAAAAGACCAAAGTGTAACATCTTGAAAAGTAAATGTTAACAAATAATATATTTGCCTCACCCAAGTCCCCGGAGCGTAGTCTTCTTAGCATTGTTTTCCTCTGCCGTCATCTGCCATCTTCTCTGTCCTTCTTACCCTAGCCTTACACTCACACGGACAGGATAACACAGAAGGAAACTCGAACTATATATTTTTATTAATATTTATTATCATGTACAATATCACAGTGTAAGTCGACCACGTCGCTCAAACGAACGTTTCATTTTTTTTAGTATAAAAGTACATAACACACAACAAAATTGTTTATACATGTGTTTTATAAAAATTGCATTATTGTGGAACATTACAAGACTAGAGACTATTGATATTCTGTAAAACCTTATTGTAAATATAAACATGTATATAAAATTAGTATAATCTCAAGTAAAATGGAGACTGAAATTTTTTTAAGAAGTCTTCATTTCACTAAAACCCTGTACTTAACAATTTCTAAATCACAATATTCAAATAGTTGAAAAAGTATAAAATATCATAATTATTAACTAATCAATATAAAAAATAATAATTTGAAAGCGCTTGAATTGCACTTTATAGTTATTATACGTTTTCAAACAAAAAACACCCTGATTGTATCAGATTATATTAAAACCAAGATGCCACTCCTCACAATGTTCATTTATTTAAATTTTATTTGAATTAAATCAATAACTATCTATATTAATATCATAAAGAGGAAAGATTTGTAATTTTTGGATTTTTGTGTGTACTAAATTCACCTTAACTACTGGGGTAATTTTAAAAATTCTTCCCCAATAAGTCGGTGATTTATCTACGAACAACATAGCCCATATTTCCCATAATTTTTAATGTGACTCGGAAGAAGTTGCAAACGGCCAGTTACAAGTAAAGATATAAGTTATTGGAGTGTTACGATACAAAAGATGTGAATAAACGTCTGATAGCAATCCAACGTGTAACATGTGATGGAAATGTCGAATTTTGTTCCGTTATTTGACAGTGACGTCATTTTTAAGCTATCTGAGCCTCTATCAGGCAGTGGTGGGACAGAACACTGTGCGGAGTGGCAGTGTGTAGTGGCAGTGTGTAGGTAGTGGCAGTGTGTGGTGAGCAGAGTGGCGGCGTGTGTACCTCTGGAAGGCGCAGGTCCAGCCGGGCGGCGCGGCGCCCGCCTCGTGCCGCGCCAGCGCCGCGCGCGCGCCGCCCGCCCAGCGCCGCACGTGCGCCGCAGAAACGCCGCCGCACGCCCACCCCGACACCAGCGTCTGTGTCCAGTTAATGTCCACATTGTGCCGTATGTACGGGGAATATTAATCCAAAACCATTTCCCCTGTACGCTATTCTCTAAAGGATAAGAACGGTGACGACCACACCGGCCTCGAAGACTACGCTAAGTTAGGAGTAACTAGACCATAGTTAACAATGCTGGCTTCACACATCTTTGAATTTAAAAAATAGAACCCCGAGTCTGCAGATTACAAGTCAAGTCAACTTTTGTGCCACAGATGCTCTAAACTCTAGGGGGACTGTCACTTTGCTATTTTACAATAATAGGGTTGGAAAACTATAAAGATAATATATAAGATTCAGTTGGAAAAACTCACCTGCAGCTGTATGATCATCTCCTGTACGGGTGTCACTACACACGGCTGCAGCTCGTTTAAGTGCTTCAGCTTGGCTCCGATGAGGTCTGTCAGGTCGTGCAGGTCCTCGTCCTGTTTACCCTCGTTCAATGTCTCTCCCCTGGTAAATGTCAATCCATTGCCGTAACTTATAGTATTCTTTGGACTATCACATTTGTCTTCTTCCTTAAACCCTAAACCGGTTCTCTGGTCAGAAAAACCTTCAATGTATTGAGAATATTTAGTTGTGTATGCTGGTGGTTCGCTTTTCTCGATTTTTCTTTCTGGCAACACTGAATTCGAGATTCTCAGTTTCTTTCTACTGATATTTTCTATTGGTTCATTTGCATCCATTAGATACATATTTTCTTTTTTCTCTGGCACAGGTTTTGTTTGAGGACTTGCTGGTTTGCTATCATTTTTCTCTTCAAAATTGGCAACACTCGGGAATAATGTAGGAATAGGTTCTTCAGTGTGGTTTTTGGTGCTCGGAAACAGAGTTTTAAGTTCTTCTAATGGAGGTGTTCTATGGCCATCACTTCGCGGTGAATTAGCAACACTGCTTTTACTTGACTTTGTTTCTTTGGGCTTTGTTTTTAGAAATTCCGTCTTTTCTATCTCTTCTAGCATATCATCTATGTCATTGTTTTTCGTATTAATATCATTTAGGGATCTCGGAGAAGCAGTCGCAGACAAATTGGTTTCATCTTTTATCATCTGCTGTAATTCCGATGGTAATTCTCCGCCTAATTTCTCTAGTATTTTTGCTTTGTCTTTTAATTTCTTTAGTAATGACATCTCATCTTGACTATCTTCATTGTCGATGGATATGGGTGAACTTTTCTCCTGCTAAGTAATAGTGTTTGTTTATTTATTTATGTATTTGTATTATTTAACTTTATTTTAGAATTTAAATCAGACCTCAGATTGAAAACTTAACCATCATTGTGCATGGTAACATTTAATTTTACTGGAAATCTAAAGTAAAAATTAAAGTAATAAAATATTGTAATGAGGAAACCATGTGGAATTATCTAAACTTAAAAAGTGAGATCACTCCAAATGGAAACTGCAAAATAGCAAATATCCAGTAAAATAAAAATATTATTTGCGCAAATATCAGTAGCGCTGTTTCATCATTGGTCAAAGTATATTAGTACATGAAATCTAATAAACTAGTTTTTGCCTGCAACTTTCAATGCTGAATAAAAAAACTTAGTAATAATCATAATAATACATCTATCATCTCATGCAACAAATGTTTAGATGGATAAAAGCAAGTAAGTTAAACACAGCTTATTTTTAAAGAAATTTAGTTGAGAAATTTACTGTCTACAAAAACAAACTACTAGGTTATTTTTAATTTCGTAAGAAAAGTCACAAGCAAAACTCAGTTATTTAAAAATTCTAATATTACAGGTTAAATACCTCTTTCACATTAATAATTTCCACTTTAGTTTCAGGTTTTGTTTCCACCTTTGTGTCCATAACAGGTGGCAGTTGAGGTCCAATGGGCTCGCTGTAGTTAATGCTCGGCCCGTACTCCACTTGAGGTTTGGTCTTCTGCTTCTTGTGCACATTCTTCTGTACTTTGAGTGCAGGTTTCTGTGTTAATGTTGATACCGCTTGTACCTTCACAGGACTTTCAGCCTCATCATTAGACTCGGAATCCGAGTTATGGTAGGATGTTATTAATTCAATTTTGCTGAAAACAAAATTAAATTTTTTATCTATATCAACACAGATAGAAGCGAGTAGAATTTTATAATATAAAAATTATCACATGAAATAATGTTTACAAATTGTAATAAGGGTTAATGTAAATTAGACATAACATTAAATGTAAAAAAAACTAAACATCCAGAAAGCAACAGACTCATCATGTGAAAAATGGAGATAGTTTGATGGTAACTGTTTAAACAACAAATTTGGCAAGACAAAACATTAATAACAATATGATGCAACTTATTATGATGCATTAGTCAAGCACTTACAATAGACAACTAAAATCTACAGTTTACTTTTCTATCATTACTCTCAAAACTACTTGCAATTTAGTATGTACCATGTTAAACGAAAAACAAAACAAGGTGGAAAATGGAAAAATCTAGAGTAACTAGTAAATTAGTAGTTGTGGGATTGTTTTATTTGCAATTTCGCCCGCGTGAAATTAAAAAAATATGTTACTCACAGATAAATTATCTTTCTAAGAGTGATAATTTTGAATAATCGCCAATCGCCAGACCCAGTCATTTTTATGTTTTTTCAATACGTACAAAAATACAAATCTTTCCACTTAATAACAATAATATAGATTTTAAATACTTACTCATCTTCATCTTCACTGTTAGCTCGTTTCTTTCCAGTCTTACTTTTCTTATTATCCTTTACTGGAAGAGTATTGTCATTATTGGAAGACTTATTCAGACTAGTTATCGCAGCTTTGGCTATTATCTTGTTATGTGTGTTCTGTTTCTCCGCAAGTGCTTGCTGATACATCTGCCATTCTTCAGCTGACACTTCTGCTGAGCCTGAAATCAGAAACATTTACTAGTTTTTATATAAAAATAGATTTTTCTAATAAATATTATATTAAACAAATATATTATCTATTAAAACTGGTCATTTATTATATTTACATGTCTGTCATTGTGTCCTATTTCTCACTTTTCATATATCTATATAAATAATAATTGTGCTTACCCGCATTGTGCAGCTGTTGCTGAGCTATTTTTAAAGCCAGTAAGTATTCTGGAGGCGCCTCCCATGTCACTGCATTTGTCTGCTGGTTCCAGTAATATGTAAATCCACTGCTCTCGTCGTAGCATGCTGACCATGCTGAAAAACAAACAAGTAATTGCAATCTATACTAATATTATAAGGAGATTTGAATTTAAGGATTTTTCTGTGTATTGAAATCTCTCTAATACTACTTCGGCGATCTTAAAAATTCTTTCAGCACTAAAAAGCTACGTTATCGCTGAGTAACATAGGCATATTTTTGAATTCCACGTGTGAGAAGTCGCGAGCAACAGCTAGTATTCAATATATTCAAAATTATTCTCATAAAATCTACAAGCCACATAATAAAGTTAAAATATAAAGGAACTATTGTTAAGAAAAGAAGACTTTATACCGTTTTGTTAAGATTGATAAGGTTTTTAATAAAGTTTAAAAACTTACGGCAATACTGTATTGGAGGTGGATGGATACCAGCGTAGTTGGCTACAGGATCCTGGCCTATTGTAGGCGCGATTTTGTTTGTTTTCTTACTTGAGACCCCGTACGAAACGTTAACCATTTCGTCGTCGGAATCATCGGAGTCGCCGTAATTACCAATTAAACCAGCGAGTGGATTTGCCTTACTCATGTTGAGATTATAATTTTAAAGTCAACTAACTCACTGTGTTTTGAACAATAACATTTCATAATAATAATTAATCATTCTTTTTAAGTTTATAAAATAAAATGGAAAATTCTCATACACGATGACGCTTTGTGACATGACACAGATGAAATATAAAATGGTTTTTTGACGTTGACATTTAACTACGTCCAACGGGAACGGGAATGAGTTCCATCTATACATCTTGCAGTTAAAATAAAGAAAATCATACCTTACATTAAGTGCGTAAGAGTGTTGTTGCACGCAAAATTAAATTGAAGTCGAATGAGAGGGCAACAAGTGTCCCCTGTGTCTCTTTCTAACAGTGACTTAGAGTTGCCAGGTATTAATAATTTTGTTGTTAGTAGAAAAATAGGCGATTGATGTAATGAAGTAAAAACGGTTACTATTAAATGTTTCTAAATATTAATAATAATTTATTACCGACACGTTAAAGCAATCTTTTTGCTACTACGTGTAAAACCTTATTTATAAAAATTGTGCGGCCGGCTCACGGGTTCTCTTTTATTTGTTTGAAATTCGGACATCTGAACTGACAACCCCACATGGCATCTCGACTCGAACGTTAATGGCGGAGTCTTTTTGATTTCGTAATATTTTTGAAGAATTGCAGTTAAAATGGGACGAATTTGTGTCGTGGAGGCTTGCAGAAGTGATATTATGCTGATTGTGGGTTATATTTTCACAGGCAATAGTTTTAATCATAATTTGTTGGTGAAGAATTACGGTGACCATGCATGACCATCCAATGCTAGTTCAAGAACAAATAACTTAAACACTTGTTTATTCTTTTTTTTCATTTATTTATTCTTTTCTCTATTAAAGTAACTTTGTTTTAATTTCAGATTTAAGATATAAGGAATAAGCTAGGTTTACAACATCAATTTAGTATTAGGTATTTTGTATTTTTATATACATTAATTATTACAATAATACGTTAAAATCCATCTGAAGCAATAATCACCTGACGTCAGGCAACAAAATCAAGATTTTTATAATTATTGTCCTTCAACTAAATTTTAACATAGTCACCATAGTCAGAGAGGGGTAAAAGGTACAGTTATTGAGGTCTCGCTCGACTTCAATATTGCGACAAAAGCTCATTCCTGTTCTAGTAGTATTTCCATGGCTTGAATTTGTCCAGAGCGTAAATCTATATAATTATAGTGTGTCTAAATAATTTAGAATAGTTTGACAATTCATTTCTAATTTAGTAGGGATGGCTTGTGTAAAATCAGTCATGAATCTTATGGATTTTCGATTTTTATTCTAGAAGTTGGAATCGATAGATATGTAGTTGTTATGAAATAAAAAACAACACTGTTTTCTCAAATTATTAATGACCATAACAAATAATGAGAATAAATAAATGTTTCCGTGATGCAATGTGAAGTCAACCAACCCGCACTTGGCCAGCGTGGTTGATTATGGCCGAGTCACCCTTACTTAGGGTAGGCTCCGAGCCCCTCGGTGAGGACGTATGGTGTGCTGGTGATGATGAAATAAATTTTTATTATTACTACAGCCGTACGTAATCGAATTGGATTTCGCTATTATTTCTGTCATCGCTAAATTCTTTACACTATAATCAATACTAGAATTTTCCTGTAAATTACTGAATAAGAAAATAATAATTTTAGTTGTGTTCAATAATTATTTAAACCGAATATCGATAGATCATAATTGTTCGCTGCGTGTTTGTTTCGTCATTACGATACCTGTTTATTAAGTATGGCATTTACCTTCATACAAATTGAATTCGATACTTCATATGTGTCATTTATCAAACTAATCTATCTTATTTAGACACACTATAATAATTTATTGTCAATTTTCTCGAGTCCATGTTATTATAAAGTGTTTTCAAAAAATTTAAAATAACCGATTTTAATGGGACTGTGGAAAGTAGCTGGAACTTTAGGACTATTCTAATAAAAATTATGATGTTTTTAAGCCTTTACCCAGTATTTATTTATACAAATGGAAAGTAGTTTTAGCTTATAATGTCAGTTAACAAGTAATTAACATACGTACATATCATAAATACGTGACGGGGAGGCTTGAAAGCCTCTCAGATATTATAGGACCTTTACATTGATTGATTTTAAGGTAGCCTACACACTAGATAACTGTGTTGGAATTTATTGTTACAATGTGTTAACTTCGGTGTTGTGTGATTCGGTTTTAGGATATTTTTGTTCATTTAAAGTGTATTTCTGTTCTACAATATTTTTAAAGGCAGAAATAAAACTCAAAACGTACTATGCGCAGTCAGTATCGCGCTTAAGACTTTATTATTGGCCCCTCTCTGCACATTCAAAAGGATCTGATTCCGACGTTTAATACGGTCCGGGACGAGGGTCTGATTACCTGCAGCGGAGACTAGGGACTGCGGGTCGCGGGGGGAGGACTCAAGACATGAACGTTTTTGCGACTCTGATGAAAAGCTTTCCATCGTTAATCTTTATTCGGAAACGTCACAAGTTAACTGCTGAAGACACTTGAAGTATTATATCTCTAAAGCGATTCTGTATTTTTGTGGTTTGTTTTTTCTAAACTATATAGTTAATAAAATTGGAGTTCCATATACTTATGTGTCTGTCTGTCTGTCCGCAAGCAGCGTTAGTTCTGGCTAATCTCCAAAACTGCTTTACCAGACTTTGACTTTGGGAACGTTGCTGATGTAGGCGGGAATATTATGGACAACGAATTTTTATTATAATTTTTTGCTAACGAAGTCGCTGGCAATCTTTTATAGCCAACACTGCTGAACGGATATTTAATATGCACTAAAATATATTCACAAATGCAGGTAAGTAACTGCTACGTTGGTATCGGAACGAAAGGTTGTGTCCGCGACGGGCGAGTTCCGATGACCTAGTTCGATGACGACGTCGTCTGCCTTAACGGCCGAGCTTTGGACGCAATAAAAGCTTAATGCTTTGATGTAAAAGCTCTATGTAAGAATAAATAGGAGAGTAATAGAACTATTGGATTGTCAGATATGTAGGTTTTTACGGGTTTATACTTTTTTTCTTTATATCCTAACGAATTGAATAGACTTACCGCTAGCATCGACGTTCTACTTTTCTTATGGAGTCATCGTCCAATCTAAATGAATGCCAAACATTTGGTCTTCCGATTTGATGCTAACTAAATGTTAAAGTTTCTCAGATGTTTTCTTACTGTTCGCTAATTCTCCTTTGTTTTGCCGCTTGTCGCGACTTGCCTGATTTAGTTTTCATTGTCTGCATCCCACATAACCTTTTGTATAATTTACTTCGCTTCTCAATAAAAGCATTGTTTTAATTGTGTAGTTAAGAAAGCCTTTACAAATCTTAGTGATTTACTTGTATTTTAACTTAACAAAGGCTGAAACTAGAACTGTATACTAACTAGAATAGGCGAACTAACGTTGATACGCACTATTTATTTAGAGAAATGTTGAACGAGGTCACGCTTAACATCAAATTATTTTGGCGTAAGGATGAATCTAATGTTTCAAATTACACAATCATTTGCACGTTAATTCCACATATAACACGCTCCTCCTTCATAGTTATTTGCCTAAAATCTTGTGTGTCTTGCCCTATTTGCGCTATCTTGAATATGTCCTGTAGAAATCAAAACAAAAGTCAAAAAGCCATTAAAACCTACTTTTGTGATTAATTCTCAAGACATACAAGTATGTTTAGGGAATTAAATTGTCTACGTATTTTCCGCCAGTTTTATAAGAATATATTAGATCGCATGATAACGGACAATAAAATTAACTCGATAGGGTTGTCCCTCGACGGGGTTCACTGACCTGATTTAACATAATGTGAAGGTTGCGTTTCAAAGATTTACATATTATTTTAATCAATTCTTTGTCTTGATACGGTATAGTTAAAAAAGTTTCATAATTGTTAACTAGATGGCGTTACTCTTGAAATAAAGAGTAAAAGTTCTTCACCGATGTCGTCTGTATTTAATTATTTTTGAACAATAGTTACTATAAATATTCGATTCGATATCTTCGTCTACCAAATGTGAAAATTATATGATCCCATAAACTCCCTGATGTTGAATATTCATTAGAGATGTATAGAGCAATAAATCCTTCATTTTACATCTTCAGTAACGCACCTGATACCAAAATGTTTCAATTGAAATATGACTAATTTGTTCTGTTACTGAATTTGAACCAATATATTGATAAAAAACATACACAATTCATGAAATACAATTAGATTACGTACAATGGTCTTTTTAAAGTAGTTGACATGTATATTTTATATTTTTCGATCCTATAGCGGGAGGGGGGGCAGCTGTCTCCCTTTACCTGCCCCCCTTCAGCGCCCGTGAAGAATTACTAATTTTCTACCATGAAATAATAGTAGAAAAAGACATTTATAAAATAAATATGAGATAAACTCAGTGATACATATTTTTAAAAATCAAATTCATTTTTGAGCTACGGCGACCGGGTTTTATCGGTATATTGATTAATGTTTAGAACAACTGCGTACTATATAAAGGACCATTACAAAACGAGCAAACCGATAGCATCCTCGTAATTAAGAAGTGAATACACGAGCTAGTGCTCAAAGCGTTTATTTACAATTTATATACTTGAAACCATATTAATATATTCGATAAAAATGAAAAAGGAGAATTAATACTTCGTCTTAGTTTAGATTTATATGAACAGTAAATACGTGTACACAATACATTTCAATGGAATGTTCTATACCAGAGAGCAGAGCGTGGTTAGGACTTAAATAAAATGAAATATTGTCTCTGGTGCTGAACATGTGCATAACCTAACACCATTTATTATACAAAGCAAATCTCCTGCTGTCCACATTTTCCTATATACTTTTATTTTATTCTGTACTTAACAATAACAAAAAAGTTAGGTATTGCGGTGGTAAAAATGTTGAAGGTTAGGAATTTTAGCTTGAACCTTGTGCCAAATACTTTTTAGAGAGAATGATAGCTGTGAAAACCCCTTCGGTTTACTAAAATTGCGTACCGATCGATATTTTACAACTTTAGGTAGACAATGTACAATAAAACTTTATTTAACAGTGAATATTTCTAACATAACAGTACATTTGTAAAGATGT